TTTAAAACATCCCCTCCCCTTTTTACATTGTTAAAGTTTGGAAGCAGAGTTAAGAGTTTATTAAAAGGGATTTTAAATATAGTTTTTTTTTTGACACAGGGTTTCTCTCTATCTGCCCTAACTGTCCTGGAACTGGCAAACCTCCTGCCTCTACCTCCTAGGTGCTGAAATTAAAGGTGTGCACTACCACACCTGACAATTTTAATATAGATTTATTTATTTATTTTTTTGGTTTTTCGAGACAGGGTTTCTCTGTGGCTTTTGAGGCTGTCCTGGAACTCACTTTGTAGACCAGGCTGGCCTCGAACTCACAGAGATCCGCCTGCCTCTGCCTCCCAAGTGCTGGAATTAAAGGCGTGCGCCACCAACGCCCAGCTTTAATATAGATTTTAAGCACAAAAATTAAGAGATAGAGGGATGAAAAAAAAAAGAGATAGAGGGATGGCTGGGCATCAGTTTCCTTCCTTCCTTCCTTCCTTCCTTCCTTCCTTCCTTCCTTCCTTCCTTCCTTCTTCCTTCCTCCCTCCCTCCCTCCCTTCCCTCCCTCCCTCCCTCCCTCCCTCCCTCCCTCCCTCCCTCCCTCCTTCCTTCCTGATTTATTTTTACGTGCATTGGTGTTTTGCTTGCATGTTTTTCTGTGTGAGGGTGCCAGATTGCCTGGAACTGGTGTTATAGACAGTTTCATGCCGCTAATGTTCTTAACCAATGAGCCATCTGTCTCTAGCCCTGAGACAGGATGGCCCAGGATGGCCTCAAACTCACTGTGTAGTTGAGGATGACCTGAACTTTTGGTTCTTCTATTTGCTTAGTGCTGGAATCGCAGCCCCTGCTTTATGTGGGGCCTTGTATGGGTTTCTTCCCAGCTTCACTTCCTTTTCTTAAACAGGAAGGTGGTGAGATGAGGCTGGGTGTAGGAGTATGAGAGGAGGAGTTGAGTGTGCAGGGAAGCTTTGCTTACCTGGATATTTTATTATATTTGTCTTAAATAATTTCTAGATGTATTTTACATGTAGGAGTGCTTATATTTATGAGCATTGTATGTGTGTGTGTGCACGCACTCACGTGTGTGTATCTGTCCATGTCTGTCTGTCTATGTCTGGTGACCTCAGAGGCCAGACGAGTGCATTAGGTCCTCTGGCATTGTAGCTACAGATGGTTGTGACCCATCGGGTGGGCACTGGAAATCAAGCCCAGGTCATCTACAAGAGCAACAATGGCTCTTTACTGCTGAGCCATCTCTCTAGCCCAACAAGTGTTTTAAAGGCTGTGTAGAGCAAGTTAGCCTCCAACTTGTGTTGATATTCCTGGTTTTGCGTCTCCAGTGGTGATACTGTAAACCTTAAAATTATTCTGGATTTTAATTAAAAATTATTTATTTGCGCGTGCGCGTGTGCGTGTGTGTGTGTGCGTGCGCGTGTGTGCTCGCGCGCGCGTGTGTCTTTATGTATATGCACATGGGGTGTCTGAGGACAACTTGTGGATATCAGTTCTCTCCTATTGTGTGGGTTCAAGAGATCAAACTCAAGTTATCAGCCTTGTCAGCAAGTGTCTTTATCCACTGAGTCTTTTCAAACCAGCCCTTGAATATGTGTTTTTTATAGGGCTGGCCACATAGTTCAGCACTTACAAACACTTGTTTCTCTTATAGAGGACCCAGGATCAGTTCCCAGTACTTGTATCAGGCAGCCTACCACCATGACTCAGCTCTGCGGGGGATTTGACGCTCTCTTCTTTTCCTCTGTAGGTGTACGTGCACACACACCATGAGAATAATTATTTACAACTGAATGAATGGATGAATGAATGAATGAATGAGAGATATGTTTTTAATATATCTAAACTAGAAGACTGGACAGGCGAGGTGGCTCAGGGGGCTTCTGCCATGAAGCCTCTGGGATTTATGTGGTGGAGGGATTGAACTGACTCCTCCAGGTTGTCCTATGACCTGCACACACATGCACATGCACACACACATAAGAAGCTTCAAAACTATAGGCAGGGTGTGGTGCCTCACACCAACAAGGCCACCCTGGCCTACAAAGTGAGTTTCAGGACAGCCAGGGCTACATTGAGAATCCCTGTCTCAAATAAAAAAACAAAACAAAAAATTGTAGTAAGCCAGAAGACCTCTTCTTCCCATCACAGCCCCCAAGGGATGTGTCTACTTTTTGGTTTTTCGAGACAGGGTTTCTCTGTATTGTTTTGGAGGCTGTCCTAGAACTAGCTCTGTAGACCAGGCTGGCCTCCACCTGCCTCTGCCTCCTGAGTGCTGAGATTACACCAGCCTATTTGCATAGTGGAAGTCCTTTGTGACAGACCTTTAATCCCAGTGCCTGGGAGCAAAAGGTGAAAGTATTGAACATTCAGGATTAGTCTAGGCAAGATAGCTGTCTCAAATAAAGATTTTTTTTTCGAGACAGGGTTTCTCTGTGGTTTTGGAGCCTATCCTGGAACTAGCTCTTGTGGACCAGACTGGTCTCCAACTCATAGAGATCCACCTGCCTCTGCCTTCTGAGTGCTGGAATTAAAGGTGTGCACCACTACCGCCCAGCAAAAAAAATTTTTTTTAGAACAAGGAATTGTGCTGGGCCTGGTGGGATACATCGTCGATCCCAGCACTAGGGAGGCAGCGGCAGGTGGGTCTCTGTGAGTTCAAGGCCAGTCTGGTCTACATAGAGAGTTCTGGGATGCTCATGGCTAGAGAGACCCTGTCTCAAAACAAGCAAACAAACTAGGAATTGTAACTCGGTGGTAGAGTGCCTGCCTAGCATGTAGAGGGTTCTAGTACCACAAAAACAAATAAATGAAACAAAAATAGAAGTTGGGTAAGGTGAACAGTTCTACCAGTCATCTCAAGTACCTGCCTTGCGGTTCAGGAGGCTAGGGGTTACAGGATAAAAACCCAGTATTTAGATCTGACTTCATTACCAACTAGTAACCACAAGGAGGGCACTCATTACAGCAGCAAACCCTTTTGTGGGAACCTGGCAAGATTCTACTTTTCAAAACTCAACATATGGGACTGCAGAGGCCACGGGCAAAATACTGCCTTTCATGCTTGAGGATTAAATTTATGACCCCCAGAATCTACATAAAAAGGTAGGTCACTGCTGGGCAGTGGTGGTGGAAGCCTTTGATCCTAGCACTTGGGAGGCAGAGGCAGGTGGACCTCTGAGTTGGGGACAGCCAAAAAAACAAAAAAACAAGCAAACAAAAATCTTAACAACAAAAAAGCCAGGTCAGGGGTTGGAGAGATACCCAAATGGTTAAGAGCACTGGATGCTCTTCCAGAGGACCTGAGTTCAATTCCCAGCACCCACATGGTGGCTCACAAACTTCTGTGTCTCTAGACCCATGTTGGCCTCAGGCACCAGGCATGTGTTTAGTGCATATGCATACAAGCAGGTGGAATAGCCATATGCATGAAATATTTCTTTAAGTCCAGGTGAAAGCCAGGTGGTGCACTCCTTTAGTTCCAGCACCAGGCAGAGGCAGGTGAATCTTTGAATTTAAGACCAGCTTGATCTGCATAGTGAGTTCTAGGACAGACAGGGCTACTTAGAGAGAGCCTCCTCAAAAACAAAGCTAGAAGGCCTAGGAGGCCAGCCTTTAAGCCCATTGCAATAATTGTTTTATTTCCACCTTGTTACCTGTTCCCATATCTAGTAAACTTTTGGTTTGTTTGTTTGTTTTTGAGACAAGGTCTCTCAAAGCTGAGGTTGGCCTCAAGCTCACTGTAGCCAAGGATGACCTTGAACTTCTGATCTTGTTGCCTCTACCTCCCAGGTGTTGGGATTACATGTGAGTGCCAGTTTACCCAGCTCAATTTGATTTGGTTTGGTTTTTGGTTTTTGAGACAGGGTTTTTCTGTGTGGCCCTGGCTTTCCTGGAATGGCTCTGTAAACCAGGCTATCCTCAAACCCAGGGCTTTGCCTGCCTCTGCCTCCCAAGTGCTGGGATAAATGCTTGCACCACCGCTGCCAGGCTTTGGCCCTTAGTAAATTTTTAATAGTATTTGCTAAGTGATACTAGGTTTAGAGACAGGATTATAACTTGTTCCCAGCTACTGTAGAGTCTAGTACAGAAAACAGAAAACACATCAGCAGCCTGCTCACCTGCACTCATACTCCAGAGCATAAGAGAAATAAATACCTGTGTGTCTGGGCCTCTCTCAGACCAGAGCTTTCCACCAAGGGCTTATGTATATCTTCTGGCAAAATAGGACTTTTTTTTTTTTTTTTTTTTTTTAAGATTTACTACTTGTGCCTTGTGGTGGTGGCACTCACCTTTAATTCCAGCACTCAGGAGGCAGAGGCAGGAGGATCTCTGTGAGTTTGAGGCCAGCCTGGTCTATAGAGTGAATTCCAGGACAGCCTCCAAAGCCACAGAGAAACCCTGTCTTGATATCCCCCCATTTTGTTATTTGTGTCTGTACATGTTTGTGTGCGTATATGCTCACACTTGTGTGAGTTTGTGTCTGTGAGTGGTGGCCAGAAGAAGGTGTTAGGGTCCTCCTCTGTCACTTCCACTTATTCCCTGACCCTGGGCAGCCCACTACAGTAATCTTGTCTCCATCCTTCTCAGAGCTGTAGTCACAGGTGTTCTTGGGGTGTCAGCTTATGTGGGTGCTCAAATCCAGACTCTGTGTCTTGTGACTGTGTAGCAAGTGCAAAACCATAACATTTTTATGTGCTTATTTTATGGAGTGAGGAGTGAGGTGCTCTCAGTCTCTTAGGGGTGTGGGGCTGTGATTTTTGGTCTGAGAAAGAATAGGTTCATTTATGTACCAGGGCTCTCCTGCCTTGTCTTTGTTGTTCAGAGATTTGCCCAGAGGTGTTAGGTGAAGCCTAAGGGAAAGAAACAGACTCAAAGCCACGAAACTGTATGTGTAATGGTGACCTAGGATATACTCAATTTCTCTATAAGCCCTACTTAGTGGATGAACAACCCTTTTCTCCCTGTCCCCCACTGACCGTGACCGCTGTGGTCTCTGTCTCCAGGTTCGGACACTATTTGTCAGTGGCCTCCCTGTGGATATTAAACCTAGAGAACTGTACCTGCTTTTCCGGCCGTTCAAGGTGAGTCAGGACCCTGGAGCCCCCGGAGCCCAGGATCACGGCTGAGCAGCACGAATGAATTTTGGACTGAACTGCAGAAAGGTGTATCAGAAACTGAGGTCACAGACTTGGCTCTGTTTATGACGGTTCTGCCGAATCGCATCTCGAGCCAGTTTCTTGGCCCTGCTGAACATCTGGTTTACTCACCTGTAAAGTAGAGATGGTGACTGATGGCAACCAATCTTGACAGACTTTGCCATGTGGGGAATCCTTGAGATTTGGTGTAGCTTCTTTTTTTATTTTATTTTATTTTTCATTTGAAGCTGAGGAAACTTGATAAGGCACTTGCTCTCAAATTAAAAGTCGAACACACAGAAGTGTCCTGGGTACTGTGACTCAGAACACAAAGGTAGCAGGACTCAGCCTCGGTGAGGGGGTTGACCTTGGAGAACTGTTAGAATGAGTCAGTCAGCAGGAGACAGTGCTGGGTTAGCACAGCCACAGCTTCTGACCCCTGAAACGGCCACCTCTCTCCACAGGGCTATGAAGGGTCCCTGATCAAGCTCACTTCAAGACAGGTAATGTCTCTCCTAGGCTTTTCCTCCCAGCCCAGGCTAACTTCTGGCAGGACTGAAACTTTTTTCCTATTGTTTGAAGACATCTGAAGGTGGAGACCCACTCCTTGCTGTCTTGCTTCTGTTCTGACAGAAGGATGGCCTCCACAGTTCCCTCCTCTTTTCTAGCCAGCTGGGACTTGTCAGTCTCGGTCCTTGTCTGGCTCTGGCATTCTGGAACCACAGCCTGCCTGACCCCCAAGGCTGAAGACATTAGAGATAGTAGCTGAGCTCTGACCTGCTTCCTGCAGGAGCCCTAGAGCATTTCTGGGGGCCATTTTCAACTTTATCTGCATGCATTTGCAAAGGCTTCTGGGGTTGTGGTTACAGCCAGATATATACCAGACCTAGGTTTACTCCTCAGTTCGGCTTTTAAAAAAAGCTACAGAAAAGGTGATGTTATTAATGTATGAATGACCCATGGGATAGTGCTGTGTTGGCATTCTTCCATAGTGTGGTACCCAGAAGGGAGACTTAACTTAGATGCTTGTGAATCTTGAATCTTCTAGACTTACCTTAGGGAGGGTATGGGCAAGAGCTTTATTTTTTCTGTGTTCTCTAGCCAGCAGGACAAATACTGTTTTTAATTAGGTGATGGGTTTTTTATGTTTGTGGTCCTGGGGGGAGGGGGATGTAGCCCAAGGCCTTGGACATGCTAGTGAAGTGTTGTGCCTGGGGTGCAGAGATGTAAGGCAGGGAGACGTGCAAGGGTGTTCTTTTTTTCTTCCTACCAGCCTGTTGGTTTTGTGATCTTTGACAGCCGGGCAGGAGCAGAAGCAGCCAAAAATGCATTGAATGTGAGTAGACCGAGAGCGTGCCTTTCTCTGACCCGCAAACCTCTGAGGTAGGGTTGTCCCTGTTCCTCCCCTACTGCACGCTCAATAAACACCCATCCCAGGGCAGAATCTTTGGCTGCCTGGTTTGTTATGAGTGTCATTACTCACAAGGTCAGCGGTATTCCCTCTGCTGTAGCACTGTGTGCAAAAGTCTTATAGGCAAGCTTGCTTCTGGGGCCCTCCATATTGCTGGCAGGTGACAGTATAGGTCCTTGTATGACCCTGTTTTCCTTTTCTTCCCATTTAGGGTATTCGCTTTGATCCTGAGAACCCCCAGACCCTGAGGCTAGAGTTTGCCAAAGCCAACACCAAGATGGCCAAAAGCAAGCTAATAGCAACACCAAATCCCACCAATGTCCACCCTGCCCTGGGAGCACATTTGATTGCACGGGACCCTTGTGAGTGGGCCTCTGACCTTTTTTCTCCTGTCTTTTGGCTTGGCCCAGGCAAGCAGGTTCTCCTTAAACTGCGTATATTCAGATCCTAAGGGAATTAATCAGTCATGTCTCCTTTTCTGGTGCCTTCTTTCATCGATAGCCACCACCTTGAGACTTAGCAGCCTACTTCTTCCTCTCTAGACTCTAGAAGGTTGAGCTCCTAGGCTGTGAGAATCACACTATTTCCCTGAAGCCTTTTTCTGATTTTTTTTTTCCTCGAGACAGGGTTTCTCTGTGGCTTTGGAGGCTGTCCTGGAACTAGCTCTTGTAGACCAGGCTGGCCTCGAACTCACAGAGATCCACCTGCCTCTGCCTCCCAAGTGCTGGGATTAAAGGCATGCGCCACCAGCGCCCAGCTTGATATCTCTTTTTTAATATAGGGTATCTATGCTTTCTTGAGATCTTCCAGAAGTAGAGTGTTGACCATGCCAAGCAAGTTCACAGGGCTTCTTTCCCTGGTCTCAGAGCATGGGGACTTGGTTCAGTTATAATGCTGGGTCCCCTTTTCTGTTTGAAAGTGGGTGGTGGGAGGGGAGACCGGTGTTCTGGTGATGGAATGGAGGCTGTTGTCTCCTGTTGTAGATGACCTGATGGGGGCTGCTCTGATTCCTGCGTCCCCAGAGGCCTGGGCCCCTTACCCTCTCTACACCACAGAGCTGACGCCAGCCATTTCACATACTACGCTCACCTACCCAGCCGCCACCGCCGCCGCCGCCACCCTCCATGCTCAGGTAAGCTGTTTGGGGTAGAAGAGTAGAAGGCTTAAGACAAACGAGCATTGTCTACCTACCCTGGCATAGGCTGGTCCTGTCCCTGGACTGCCACAACAAAAGTGTTGTCTTGAGCCAGGAATGGTAGCTCATGTCTGTAATCTTATGATTTGGGAAACTGAGGCAGGAGGATTGCTGGAATTTTCAAGACAGCCTGGGCTAAAATGGGTGACTTGGTGTCCCATAAAAAAAACAAACACCCCCAAAACCCACAAACTGTTGTCTTTGCAGATATTTGGAAGCTCAGGCCCTGGAGATCTGTCAGGAGCACAAACTGGGGACATGCAGGCAGGTCTGCTCCGCCTCTTCCTGTCTTTATGACAGTTATTACTCTGGGAAATTAGAATGATGTACAGTGCCTTTGGATTGTTCAGAATTGGAGAGTGCCTCAGTGAAGGCCAGGACTTTGCCTGGATAGCTTAGAACTCCTGCTTATTCTGAGCGTTTTTTTTTTTTTTTTTTTTGGTGGTGGTGGTTTGTTTTTAATTATCCTTATGTGTATGACTGTAAGACAACTTTTGGGAATTAGTTCTCTCTACCATGTATGTTGTAGGGATCAAACTCAGGCCATCAGCCTGGGAGCAAGCACCTTTATGCACTGAGCCATCTTGGCAGCCATGTTTGCTGGTAGATATTTTGTTTTGTTGGTAGATTTATTTATTTAGAATTTTTAAATGATGGGGTGGGGGGACTCATAGTCCAGGCTGGCTGACCTTGAGTTCCTAATACTCTTGTTTCTGCTTCTCAAGTACTGGGGCTATACAAGCATGTAACACTATGTCAAACTAAAAAAAATTTTTTTTGAGACAATCTTGCTATGTAGGCCAGGCTGGCCTTGAACTACTGGTAATCCTCCTACTCAACCTCCCAAGTATTGGGATTACAGGTTTGGGGACTGGGCACTTGGTCAGAAAAAAACCAGCTATTTTTAGGGGATGTCCGAGAGAGCAGAAGCTGGGCCCAGAGCGGGGCGTCGAGTATTATTGTTTCTGAGGCTGACCATGTAGACATTTACCCTGTTCTGACTACCAAAACCTGAGCCTTGAGTGACCATTCAGCATAGGGGTTTCCTACACTGTCAGGAAAAGAGCTTGTGGAGGGAGCTACTTGGCCCTGACCTGGCAATAGAAAGGGAATATGGAGAAAGGAAAGGGAAAGTTTGGGGAGGAGAGTTCACAGTAAGCTGAAGTTAGAAGAAGTGGGTACTCTATTATTTCCAGTACTCTGGAAGGCAGGGGCAGGTAGATTTGTGAGCTTGAGGCCATCCTGGTCTACAGAGTGCGTTCCAGGACAGCCAGGGCTGTAGATAGATAGTCTCTCTCTCTCTCTCTCTCTCTCTCTCTCTCTCTCTCTCTCTCTCTCTCTCTCTCTCTCTCTCTCTCTCTCTCTCTCTCTCTCTCTCTCTCTCTCTCTCTCTCTCTCTCTCCCTCTCCCTCTCCCTCTCCCCCTCTCCCTCTCCCTCTCCCTCTCCCCTCCCTCCCTCCCTCTCCCTCCCCCTCCCCTCTCTCCCTCCCTCCCTCTCTCCCTCCCTCCCCCTCTCTCCCTCCCTCCCCTCTCTCCCTCCCTCCCCCTCTCTCCCTCCCTCCCTCTTTCTCTCTCTCTCTCACACAGCACTGGGCACCTTCTCTTGGAATCTGAGTGCGTGTCCATTTCTGGGTATCCTCATGGGCTTAGCAGCATAGGGGTTGTCCTTCCCCCAGGGTGGAAAATTCAGGTCAGGTGCCATTATTTTAGCAGGTTTACTCCAGCAGGGAAGTCTGTCTCAGGCAGGTTTTGATTGTGCTGGGCTAAACTGTAGTTAACATGGTACTTTCTCCAGCTGAGCATCCTGGACAGCTGAAAAATCCCTCCCAGGTAGTCAGGCTCTTCCCGAGGGGAAGGTTTGCATAGTAACACAGAAGTGGAGTAGGAGATGGGGAGGCCTTTTTTTTTTTTTTTTTTTTTTTTTTTTGTGGTTTTTTTGTGGTTTTTTTCGAGACAGGGTTTCTCTGCGGCTTTGGAGGCTGTCCTGGAACTTGTTTGGTAGTCCAGGCTGATCTCGAACTCACAGAGATTCGCCTGCCTCTGCCTCCCGAGTGCTGGGATTAAAGGCGTGCGCCACCACCGCCCAGCGTTTCTGGGTTTTTGTTTTGTTTTTGTGGCAAGTTCTCCTGTATTCCAGACTAATTTCGAATTGCATTGTGTAGCCAAGGGTCAGGACGGTGTTGAACTTCTCATCCCGCCTCTATCTCTAGAGTGCTGAGGTTACAGGCCGGCATCACCTTGGTTTTACATGGTACTCAGAATGGAACCAAGGCCTCATTTACTCTAAGCAAGTACTGAGAAAAGTTAGCAGCTGAGAAATAGAAGGTGCTAAGAAGGTATGGGCACTGATACCCACTATTGCTCCCCTGCTGGGCACATCCCAGCTTCTAGAGCCCTGTGACTGCACAGACCACACTTGCAGGAGAGCCCTGAAAGGACCCGAATCTTCACCTGAGAAAGGCATGTGGCCTCTGTCTGTACTCTCTGCATTAGGGAGTTGGAGGCAGGAGGGTCAGGAGTTCAGGGCCAGCCTTGGCTATATAGCAGATTTGAAGCCAGCCTGTGCTACATTGAAACTCTGTCTTAACAAATTTTCCTTGTAAGCAAGAAGGCACGAAAGCATGTATGCCACAGACTCCCCCTTGCCTGTTTTCTGTGTAATGGGGCTTTTGACAATTTAAATGAAATTCGTGAATGGAAACTAAGAGCAGCATGTGGCAAGTACCTCTCTCAAACTAGACAGATAGGGTTTCTTTTAGTATTGGCTTATCCTACTCCAAGGAAAACCTTTTTCTTTCCCTTTTTGGTTGTGTTTTTTGAGACTATTTCTCTGTATTGTTTTGGAGGCTGTTCTGGAACTCGCTCTGTAGACCAGGCTGGCCTCGAACTCACAGAGATCCGCCTGCCTCTGCCTCCCAAGTGCTGGGATTAAAGGCGTGCCCCACCAACACCTGGCTCTTTTTTTTTTTTTTTTTTTAAACAAAAAGCCTTAAGCTCATGGCAGTTCTCCTGCCTCTGCTTCAGTGCCAGGAATTTACAGACGTGTGCTGTCATGCCCGGTGATGGCAGTCTCCTTTTAAAGCCCTAGATTTTGGGCCTGTTAAATAAGATGGCCCTGGAGGCAAAGGTGCTTGCCTCCAAGCATGACGACCTGAGTTTGGTCTCTGAAACCCACAGAAGGGTGAAAGGAGAGCACCGATCCCACATGTTTATACGCATAAATGATACATGATAGTAAACAAATGTATACATTTGAAGTAGGTATATAAATAAGTCAATGGATGTGAATCTTTCATAAAATTTTCTTTTTCTTTTTTCTTTTTGGTTTTTCAAGACAGGGTTTCTTTGTGTAGCTTTGGAGCCTGACCTAAAACTCGATCTGTAGACCAGGCTGGCTCTAATTCAACTTATAAATCCACCCACCTCTACCTCCCGAGTGCTGGGATTGATTAAAGGCGTGTACCACCAATGCCCAGCCTTGAATTTTTTAATTTTGCTATTATGATGATGATGTTTGCGTGTGAACATGGGGTGCCATGGTATGTACGGTCAGAGGGCAGCTTTGTGGAGTCAGTTTTTTCCTTCCACCTTTTTGTGGGTTCCAGGGACCAAACTCAGGTCAAAGCCATCTATCTCACTGGTCTGGCTGAAATATTATTTTAGTTGATTTTTCTAGCCAAGTGAGGCTCCCATATTTATTGGCTATTAATATTTTTTTTCATGTAGATTCCTTTTTTTTTTTTTTTTTTTTTTTTTTTTTGGTTTTTCGAGACAGGGTTTCTCTGTGGCTTTGGAGGCTGTCCTGGAACTCGCTTGGTAGTCTAGGCTGGTCTCGAACTCACAGAGATCCGCCTGCCTCTGCCTCCCGAGTGCTGGGGTTAAAGGCGTGCGCCACCAACGCCCGGCAAGATTCCTTCCTTTTTGGTAGACCTTTTTATTTGGTCCTAAGATCTGAGAGGAGATTGAGGCTTGTTCTTATGTTCTCTTCTGGGTTTGAAGCAGTCCTCATGTAGGACAGAGGCAGTCTCTCAGGAAGATGTGAACAGTGGTTGTTGACTGCAGGGTCTCTCACATGCTAGGCCTGGGCCTGGAAGGTGTCATGAGCTGTGCTGGGGCAGGAAGAGGGGATGCAGAAAGGGACTGGGCTGCTCTTAGAGGAACCCAGGCCGCAAGCATATGCCAGGCATCTGTGAAATGTTCCAAAGCAACCCCGCTGAGTGCATCCCTTTTCATCATTGGCCTGGCTGTCCTAGGCCCGGAATACCCCCACCCTAAGACACCCCAAGACATTTTGACTCCAGGGCTGAGGAACTGCTGCTGTAGTTGGAGCACCTCCAGAGCATGTCTGGGGAGACTTTTTCAAGCAGCCATTTGAGGCATCAGCTCTCTTGAATGGAAGAGGATGAGTGGGAGGCTTCCTAAGGCTTCCCGGAGTCCCCTATGTCTGGTGCCATGGACTCCCAGACTGTCAGGCAATACTTGTGGGGCCGTTCCTGCTGGGTGAAGGGTGGTAGGCAGAGCCCGTGAGGATATTCTGAGCTGCCTGGAGCCCTGGACTTCTGGTTGGCAGTGCTGTTTTTTCCTGTTACATCCTTGCTTAGGAAATAAGTTCTGGTGTCTAGCCGGGCAACCAGCTAAGAGGGTATCCCCAGCCCAGCAAAAGGCCAGAGGAATTCCTCCCTTATGGCTGTTAGCCAGGAAAGGAAGAGCCTGTCCTGCTATGTGCCAGGTGTGCAAGTGTTAGCCCCTAACTTCTCATCACTGTCTTGGGAGGATATATGGCCCAAATGGTGCATTCTACACAAGTAACACGTAGCCGTGGGAGGGTCACAGGCACAGCTCCTAAGGCAGTTCCTTCTGCCCAGAGGGCCTGGCATTGGTCATACCCTTTTTGCTTACCCAAGAGGCAGGAATCCCATGTGGCCAAGTGGGCCAACTGGGTCTGCCTGCTATAGCTTCATGGGTATTGTGTGAGTGCCCAGCTTCTAACTCATTCTCTATGGTGGCTCTTAAGTGTCACCCCAGTCTTTCCTAAGGGGACCATAGGCTCTCCTGGGTGCTCAGACCCCACTCTCCCCCAGGCAGCTTTGGGTCAGGCTGGGTCCATGTGTAAGTAGGGCAGGCGCCTTCCCTGAAGCCTTTGTCTGGCAGCAGCTCAGCTGTCCTTGCCAGGTCTGGCTCACAGAGAGGGATCCATGCCATTTTACTGACCAGTCTCTGGGAGTTCTGCCTTGGGACTTCTGCCCTACGGGGCCTTCCGCGGTTGCCACAGTCAGTATAGGCAGCTGCTACCCAGGCAAAGATAACCTGAAGCTGTCACCTCCTGCCCGAAACCCCAGTAGGGTTTTCAAGTATCTGAACTTAATGAGCCTTGAAACAAGAGTGTGGGAAAGATGGAAAGGTCAAAATGGCTGTATTGAAGAGTTGCCAGGACCTGTGCGTGCGTGCGTGCGTGCGTGCGTGTATGTGTGTGTGTGTGAGAGAGAGAGAGACAGAGAGAGACAGAGACAGACAGAGAGACCCCTTGGAGATCACACTGATTTTTTTTAGTGTATTTTACCTCCTGTCCTGCTTGCTCTTTATAGCATTTTTTTTATGTAGATCAAGAAACAGATCTAAGGTGGGTGATAGTGGTGCGTGCCTTTAATTCCAGCACTTGGGAGACAGAGATGGGCAGATTTCTGAATTTGAGACCAGCCTGGTCTACAGAGCAAGTTCTAGGACAGCCAGGGCTATGCAGAGAAACCCTGTTTGGGGGTGGGGGTGGGTAGATGGATCCCAAGAAACAGTACAAAATGTGTCAGACTCATTCTCCTGTTGAGAATTTATCAGGCTTGGTATCACTGTTGGCGGAGTGCTTACCTGGCATGTGTGAAGTCTTGGGTTCAATCCTTAGTACTGCATAAAACACAGATACCCTTCCTGTAGTCCCAGCACTCACAAGATGGAGGCAAGATCAGAAATGCAAGGTCATTCTTACTTATGGTTAAGTCCAGGGATTCATGAGGTCCTCTCCCAAAACCAAGGGACTTTCAAGATGGTTCAGCCCAAGTTCAGTCCTTGAAGCCCATGTGTTAGAAGGAGAAGACCAACACCCACAAGTTGTGCGAGGCCCAAGCATGCATGCTCATAGGGGTCCAAATGCTGGCAGGCCCTCATGGAACCCTGACCCCAAGAGGAGGAGGCGGGCCGGGTGGTGTTTTCCCATTTTCAGGAGAAAGAAGCCCATGTTGAAAGGCAAGTGTAACTGGCCCAGGTTCTCCCAAGTGATTAGTGACAGCCTGGACAGCCTCAGGGACTCTGTTGAGATTCACCCAGCCCCTCTTCAGGATGGAGGCCAGTGGCTGGTAAGTGTGCCCTGACAGCAGCTTCTTTTGCAGGTGCGCTGGTATCCCTCTTCTGATACCGCTCAGCAAGGATGGAAGTATCGCCAGTTCTGTTAGCTCCTCAGTAAGTGATGGCTGGGGGCCGGCATCCTCGATGCTGGCTCCTCACACGGCTGTGGGTCGTCCTCTCTGCCCAGTCCTGAGAGCTCGTTGTATGCTGTTGGCTCCTTTCTGTCCTTCTCCATAGCCACCTCCCATCCACTGTGCTCATGGCCACCTCTCTCCCCTCCCTCCAGGTCTTGTACCCTGGAGTTGGTCCTGGGTTGTGTGGGGCCAAAACAGGGCTCTGCCCTACTGCCACCTGAGGCCTGTGCAGAACTGCTGCTCCCCTCTAGACACTGTGAATCTGAAGCCTGACTCAGTGGATGGCTCTCGTTTCCTCCTCCCTCAGTTCTCCAAGGCCTTCCAGGAGGATCGGAGGCCTTCTTACCCGGACACCTAGGCCCAGCTTGCCGGCCTCACTGGGAACCCAGCACAGCCTGACCTCCTGCTCAAACTTACTTCTGTAGTTCCCCATCAAGGAAAAGGGACATTTAATTTTGCATGTTTATGAATTGTGACACTTGTACGGTTTGTTCCTACACTGTCGCCATAGCAACAGGTCTTGGCACTGGAGGCTTGTCAAGCCTAGTCTCTCTCTCTACTCCTGACTCCTACACTCACCCTACTTCAGGGAGGCCTGAGCCTTGCAGCCACTTCTGACCTGAAGGCCCCGCTGCACACACACATAAACACACACGCACACACGCGCACGCATACACGCAGATTCCATCCTCATCTGGCAGCAGATCCTCAGCCTCTGACTTTCACCTTCAATCAGAGTCCTGATCGTCTCCTTCTCCAGAGGGCTGACAAGCCTAAGAAGCTGTGCCTCCCTCCCCCAGAGCACCCTACCCTGCCACTGCTCTTCATTCTTCCTGAACTCTGAAACCAACCAAAACCTGAAAAGTATTTTTGTACCCTATGTAACAAAATATTTATGGATCATAAAGGGTTTTTCATGTGTTTACCATTAATTATTGAAGAGACCTTGCTCAGCCTGTCAGATAAGTTTAATGTTTAGTTTGAAGCATGAAGAAAGGGGTTTCCGTTCCTCAGCAATCGGCCTTTGTGTCGGGCATTGGTTTAAGAATATGAGATGAAGGATGAATTGTGCAATTTTGTTTTATTTTACAAGCATGTCTGTGCTGTACCTTTAACCTCAGCTCGGATGTTTGGCCACTTCAGACTGTGGGTGATGTCTGGAGGTGGTTATTGTAACCGCTAACCCTGTGAGAATGTGAAACTGGATCATAAATGAAATGCAAAATAAAAACCTGAAGTGACGACTGTGCTTTTTTTTGCTTGTACATTCCATGGGGGCCAGGATGAGGGATGACCAGAGGGAAGCTGGGAACAGTCCTGGCCTGCTGGCTGTCTGGGTTGGGATACCTCAGACTTGCTGTTGTTACTGCTGCCTTCTGTAGTTATCTGAGGAACCAGTCCCAGTTGGGGATGACCTGCACCAGGGTCATATAGGTGCCTACTGTCCGTCATCCCTTCATGTAAGACGAATTCCCTCCTTGGTGAAGAAATTCTGAGTGCAGAGAGCTTTGGCCCCCACACCCGGTCAGGGACCTGAGTGTGCCTTTATCGGCCCTGTGGCTCTCAAGCCCTCTAGGAAGAAAGAAAACTGCAGTTGGTGTGCTAGATCTGATCTTGGTGTACATCTGTGAGGCTGGCCGTAGCCCATGACAGGTTAAGGCTAGCCTGTGCTGTTGGCTGTAGACTGCAGTTGATACCTGGGAAGAGAACAGAAGCTCCCTGAGGTGGGCTGTGCTGAGAGCCTGGGCTGGCATGGTCAGGGTGACTCTTATGACATGGTGTTTCAGTTTAATAAGAGAAGTGGCTTGAAGTCTTTTCTAGCTCCTAGTGGAAGGCTGGAGTTCTGAGTTTGCTTTTTTTTTTCTTTTTCTATCTTGGTACTTGGAGGGTAGGACCAGTAGATAGTGCCTGCCTCCTCCTGGTTCCCACTGGGGAAAGTGGCTGTGGCTGGCCCTGGTTGCACCCGGGGGACTGGCACCTCACCCCTTCAGTGGTGTGGCTTGGGTCTAGGCTGTGAACTGCTGACAAATGTGTCAGAGGTGTCATGTATCTAGGCGGTGAGTGGGCTAGGAGGGGCACAGGCAAACATAGGCTTTGTGGTAACGGGGTGGCAGGTGGGCAGGTTACCTGTACCCCAGAGGGAAATTAGGGGGGATGTACCTGTGCTTGTACCAGGAAGGAAAGGAATTGGATCTTTCCAGTACCCCTCACTGGTGTGTGGTCTTGCCAGGCATGCAAGGGCCTTCCCAGCCTGCAACTCCTTCTAGCATGGAGAAGAAGCTGTTGTGGACCTGACAGCCCCTTCCCGGAGCCAAGCCATGGCCTGACCTACTTCAGCTGTGTCAGGATCCACTGGGTCTTCCTGAGGTGCTGAATTATTTAGTTGGGGCGCTCGGGTCTTTTTGAGAGGGGCAGAGGAAGCTACTTTCATAATTTAAAAGGCCCCCATGCCGGTGGCTTCCAGGGGCAGGGGGAGGGGGGAGGGGGGACTCCTTCATGCTTTACTGAGCAGGGCCCAGTCTGATAAGAGGGAGGGAGGTCCTGCAGCCTTTCCAGCTGGTTCTTCACGGTGCCTCTGCAGACAGGCTTCAATGGGCCGTCACATCTGGACTGAGCTGGAGTTGACAAGCAGAGCCACCCACAGTTAAGGAGTTGCCTGGCAAGGTACAGTAAAAAGCTGGACTCAGAAGCAGCCTTGTCCAAAATGCCTGTGGTATGCTCTTCTGAAAAAGCCAGCAGGTGTGTGTCATCCTGGTCTCTGACGGTAGGAGTGTTGGTTAGGTGTTGTCAGCTTGACACATGCCAGGATCATCAGGGAGGAGGGAATTGAGAAAATGCCACCATCACATTGTCCTGTAGACAAGTCTGTGGTGCATTTTCTTGATTATTGACTGATGTGGGAGGGCCTGGTCACTTTGGGCGGTGCCACCCCGGGCAGTGGTCCTGGGCTGTACAGGAAAGCAGGCTGAGCAACCGCTGGTGAGCAGTCCAGAAAGCAGCATCCTGCTTCATCCTGCCTCCATGGTCCTGCCGTGGCTTCTCAGTGGCCTGTGGCCTGGGGTATGTAAATCGAATAAACTTTTCCTTCCAGTTGTTTTTGGCCACAGTCTTTATCACGGCAATAAGACAATAGGAGTATGGTTTCTTCCTTTCTCAAAGGACCAGAGAGTCAAGTAATAATAAGTTCTTCGGGTGCAGACCCATTCTTAACAGTACGGACTCCCCAAGGTGGGGACCATACTCATATGTCCCTGCTTTGCTGGAGACCAGTGCTGAAGATGCCTGAGAGGACTGTGACTGCTGCCCCTGCGCCCACCCCAGGAGCACTTGGCTGCTGACAGATTGTTTGGTTTGCCCACATCTTTTTGAAATTCTGTAGTTTGGTCAGCAATTTTTAGTGATGGGGATTCTTTATTGGGGGGAGGGGAAGTAAGGGAGTAAAGGAAGGAAAGAGAAGACAGAAGGCTGCCTCCTCAGAGAGAAACACTGATGGCCTTTACAGGAGAGTTGACTTGTAGGCTCCAGCCTGTGTGGGTTGCCCTACCAGGTAAGAACCCAGCCGATGGGCCAGAGGTATGTAGAAGGACCAGGACTCTGCTCTGCCTGGCTGTCTTCTGAAGTCTGAATGAAGACTTTTTGGTTTTTAGGAGTTCTGTCAGCTTGTAGATAATCCCTGAGAAATGGGCTTTAAGTATCTCAGAGTAAAGTTACAGAGAGTGCCAGAAGGGACTTCCATAGCTTGTGATGAGTTAGGGTCTCACTTTTGTCTCCTGACCTAGAATTTTCCCAGGCTGACATCAAACTCATAGTAACCCCGTTGTCTCAGCCTCCCAAGTACCAAGTTTCAAGCATATGACACCATATCTGACATTTTATATTTAACAAAAAATTAAGTGTAGGTTGAAACTTACATACTCTGTTCTTGTTTAGGGATCATAGTTATTGAAGAGTGTGTGTGTGTGTGTGTGTGTGTGTGTGTGTGTGTGTGTGTGTGTGTGTGTGTGTGTGTTTTCATACAAGGTCTTATTCTGTAGTCCAGACTGGCCTGGAACTCACCGTATATTCTGGGCTGGCTGGCCTTGAATTTGTAGTGGTCCTCTTATACCACCAGCCAGCATGCTTGTCACTGAAAGTTTTATTATTTTTAATATTTATTTCTTATATATTCACAGTGTTCTGTCTGAATGTATGCATACATGCTAAGAGAGGGCATCAGATCTCATTACAGATGGTTGTGAGCCACCTGTGGTTCCTGGGAATTAAACTGAAGACCTCTGAAGAGCAGCCAGGGCTCTTAACCTCTGAGCCCTCTCTCCAGTCCCTGTTTTCCATTTTTCATCTACTGTTTTACTTGGGAGAAAGAGGAAGGTAAAATGGGTCAGAGACCCAGACATCATAGTATAGCCTCAGATATTTTCACACTGTACTAACTACCCATTTTTTGTACATGGATTTTTCTCTCCCTCCTTCCAGCTCCCAAGTCATAACATGGAGACTTATTAATTATAAAAGCTCGGCCAATAGATTTGGCTTGTTTCTAACTAGCTCTTACAACTTAAATTTACCCATTTCTATTAATTTACTTTCTGCCTCGTGTCTCTATTACCTTTACAATGTGCTGCCCATGCTGCTTTCCTGCTTCCTCTGTCTCTGGCTTGCAACTCTGTATTTCTCACCCCCCCCCATCCTGCCTAGCTCTTGGCCGTTCAGATTTTTATTCAACCAATCCAAGGGACAAATCTTCACATTGTACAGAAAGATTATTTCAGAACACCATTTAGAGGAGAGGCTGTAGGTCAGTGCAAGGCCTTGTATGTGACGCTGCTCTACCACTGAGTAGGACCCTGGCAGCCTTACAAGCCATCAAGAAGCAGAACTTGAGTCTGGCCCCTTAGACTACTCGACCATCCTAATACTCTTCATTTTGTTTTGAGACAGCCTTACTGTGTAGCCTTGGCTGCCCTGGAACTTGCTGTGTAGACCAGACCTGGCTTCAAACTCAAGAGATCTGGCTGCCTCTGTCTTAGTGTCACCAGTAACCTGACACCCTGTGAGAAGCCTCTGGGGATCTCAGGATTCTACCAGCAGGAAGAAGAGGATCACACATTCCTGTCCTGATGTGGCATTTGCAATGCGTGCATATGCTGTCCCTTGTGATGGCCATAAACGTCCTTTGAAACAAGAAAGGTATTTTCAGCTACTTCTTATAGCTATGGAAACTGAAGGTAAAAGCTTCCATGGGAACTGTCAGGATAGTTCTAGCAGGTAAAGGTGCTTGCTACCAAGCCTGACATCCAGAATTTTATCCTTGGAAAAGGAGAACCAACTCCTCCAAGTTGTCCTCTGACCTCTGCACGTGCATGGTGGCACATATCTACCCTCACTGATAAACTTTTTTAATCCCACAGAGGGAGACCCGAGTGGTGGTGGTGCTTTTCTTTAATCCCAGAACCCTGGTCTATAGAGTGGGTTTCAGGACAGCCAATGCTACACAGAGAAACCCTGTCTTGAAGAAAAACAAAACAAAACAAAAAAACCCTCAGGAAAGAAAAATCCCATAGAGGGAGATGGCTTGATGGGCAAACACTTGCTTGGCAAGCATGAGGAGCAGAGTTCAGATCCCCAGAACCCACATAAAAAGCTGAATGGCTGTGGAGGTCCACTGTAACCCTAACATTGGGGTGGCAGAAAAGGGTAAGAGACCTGTCTAGGGGAGCTGCACCAGCAAGCGCCAGCTTCACCCCGAGAGACCTTGCCTCGAATAAATGGGTTAGCAACCAGCAGTTGAGAGCACTTGCTAGTGCAGACGGCCTGGGTTCTGTGCTCAGCACCCACATCAGGTGGCTCACAACCACTTACGGCTCCAAACATTCCTGGCTTCTTGAGCAGTTGCATGAAGAGTACGCTTACATATACACAGTTTTGTAAAGAAATCTATGTGCCATTTGTATTTTGAGAACATGTTTACATGTTCCATGTATGTGCCTGTAGAAGCTAGAAGAGGGTTTTGACCCCCTCGAACTGGGGCTGTGAGCTGGCGTGTGGGTGCCATAGGTCACTATGCGTGTGCACCGAGTGCTCTTAACCCTGACCCATCTCTCCAGGTGCACAGAACACACTGCTCCAAAGGACCTGGCGCTTGGTGCAGGTTGGAGAATGAGGCTCAGTTTCTGCTCTTTGGAGGGGGGTGTACAGTCAGGGATCTGAATGGCCGAGTTGCTCAAGTGAGGAATACCCAGGA